CGGAGGGGTCGCCCGTCCGACGCCGCGCGCTTTTTCCGCCTCCTCGCGTTGGAATCGGCGGTATTTGATCGGATCCACCTCACTGGGGGGGGGGAGGGTTTTCAAGAACACCTCCGCCGGGGGGGAGGGCGTGAGCCCGCAGACGGACCCCATGCCGATGATTCGGGTGTGCAGACGTCGTAGCATTTCGTCCGAGCCCCCTCGCGTGGGTCGTCGCTCACCTGTCCGGATTCTCGTGCGTTCCACGAGGAGATGTGGTTGCTAATTATCTTCTAGTTTACTAAGCGTGTTTTGATGGTCGCGAGAAGAGGTCAGGCACCAAGAGTATGGACAGGACCAAAAATAAAAAAAGGCAGAAGAGTGGACTTGCATCATAAAAAAAACCTGAGGAAAATGATGCCTCAATCACGTTTGATAATTTCACCCACCCCTTTACAGAAGCATCGGGGTGCATAAAGAATCATTAGAACTAAATCAACTCACGACATATACGTTGTGGCGCCCTATTTTGGTGCACCCTTTTCTCTTCACATTTGAAATCACACATCTGATGCGGTGCTGAAACCAATATATTTATATATTTAATAATAATAATAACCTATTCTTGTCAGATGACATCTATTTACATATTTTATGCGTTGAACCCACAATAAAAACGTAAAAAATAGTATGAGGGTTCACGTGCCATCCCATTTTACTCAGCGATTACCCTCAAACTATTTGTCAAGCACTGCTGCTGCATTTGTTTCATAAAGCGGGTTAGCGCGTTATATTGGAATATCGAAAGAACTACAATCACCAGAATGTTGATCGTCAGCCCGAGGCCGATGAGGGAGGTGGTGGAGCGGTTCTTAATGCGGTCGGCATCCCCGGCCAACCGCATCCCATCCGCATCCTTCGCCAGGTTGAACATCACCTTCCCGTAGTGGTGCAGCGTTTCCTCCATTTCCACGTCCACCTTACGTACCGTATTCGGATCCACCTCGAATACGTCATATTTAATAATCGAGAAGCTCACCCACTTCGGGGAGAACAACGAGAAGGAGTTGTCAAAACAGATGGTGATCTCCGCGGGAAGCCCGTGTTTGGATTCCTCCACTTTTGGCGCCGTGTACGTTAAACTTCCCTCCGTCGCTCGAGACCAGGTGTTGAGGACCTCCGTTCGTTGTTGATCGCGAATCTCCCGGTAGTAATCGGTATAATGCACGAGCATCATCCGATTAACGCTGTCAAACGCGGGCGTGTAGGTGGTCGTCACGACCACGTCGATGTTAAACGAGCCTCCGTCCGTAACGCGGAAGTTAAACCCCAGCGTACCGCCGGCCTCGACGATCTCGGAGTAGCACTCCCGCCCGCCGGCCTCAATTTTCGTTCCAAAGGTCGCCGCGACGAACGGAATCGGCGACGCCGCAAGCGCGATGAGCACGATTCCCACCAAAACAATGAGAGAGCGCATGAAATGACGTTGGTTGAATCGTTAATTATCTAACTGCTAGAAGTTGGGATGTGTGGTGGACCTAACGTGCGGTGTAGAAACTGTACGGAGGGGAACCTTCACACAGCTAGAGCAAGATTGAGACTAGAGAAAGATATGAAGTAGACGCCATAAGTAATTTACCAAGAACAGGGGTTCCATTTGATTTGTCATGCAGCCATTCCGCGTGTGGTGGAAAGGTGCCCTAGTCATAATGTAAATACATATCCTCAACTGTCGATAATGAAGGTATCTATCACATCAACTTCCCTTCCCGCTGCTTTTTGAGCTTCCGTACACTATGATACAGCATCGCGTCGACGAGGCCCGCCACCGTGAAGACCCCCCCGCACACCGCACAGAGCTGCAGGAAAAAATGCGCGAAAGACGGGTACGGGTGGCTGCGCATGATGTGAAGTTTAATCGGTGATAAATCGTACGAGATGAAAACCCCAGGTATCACCCGACCTGCGGCCTCCGGTTTTGGCGAATCCCCTTCTTTTTGGATGACCTTCGAATTCAAAGAAGGGGTAAAGTGGTGGGTAACGGAGTACTGGCTGGAGTCCGTGATGGTGCTCGTGCTCAACAGCAACGAGGTCGCCTCATAACGGGTGGGAACGACTTTTACAAAATAGCTAAAGCGACCGTTCACGAAACGTTTCGCACCGGTATCATTCTCCCGCCCTCGGATCTGTTCAATCCCAGTAAGGGGGTTGATTTGCCCGGGAAAAGACTCACCGAACTCGAGGTGGTGAATCACGTGGCTGAGGTTGAGATTTTGGAAGCCTTCATTTGCGGTGTCGATGTGAGGGGTGTCCAAAAGGGAGGTGTGAAGTTCTCCGGGAATGAACTCGAGGATGCCGATCACGCGAGCGACGGAGAGCTCGACGTGGATGCTACACCCTTCCTTTGCCAAGAACGCGGCGGCGAGCCGCATGCGCTCCTCCACGCACTGCACGAGCGTCGGATCCTCCACGTCGAATCGCCATCGTTTCTGTTGATACGCATTGCGCACATCATCACAGGTGAAACAACAATGCCCGTCATATAACTCGGCACCGTGGCAGGAGGGGCATTTTTCTTTTTCCCCTTCCCATGAGGGGTTAGGAAACAAGGCTTCCTTTGAAATCGCATCGCCCTCGCTAAGCGGCCGCATCGTATCGGGCTCCACGCGCGTCTTCACTGCCCTCGCGGCGATATGATCCATATGCATCCCGAGCGCGTCGATCGAGTTGATCACGAGGAGGTTGCACGGGATGCGGTGGAAGGTGAGGTTGAAGGAGATCGGCATGTCGCCCCCGACCGTGGAATCCACCAGCATATCCTGTGTCGTGCGAGACGACAGAAAATAGCACGTTTCACTAACGATGAGCACCAAAATGATGATCAGAGATATAACGGAAAAAAGCCCACCCGAGATCGTCCGATGACGGGCATCGACCTCGAATTTTCGATCAAACTTTGGGAAAAGGTCAAATCGCCGGAACCTCTGCATCATAGAGCCATCACCGACCTGCATAGCAGAATGAGGGGAGGAATTCTTTAAAAAAATATATATATTATGGTAATGAATTGATAAATCAAACAAGGTCACCTTCGTTTATTGATACTGAAGAGAAAAAGTAGGTGAAAAGGAGAAGTTGCTGTTACCAGTTCACATCCTCCTCCTAGGGAGACCCGCCGCCCGCTATTCATCTCACGGCAAGGAGAGTGGTGTCGGGCTGCACGCAGTTGCTTGGTTCTCTTCCATCTTTTCCTCATTTATATATATATATATATATATATATACAAAATAATATAACATCTAGAAAAAAATCTTATAGC